CAGTTGATAGATTTTCGTTCTTTTTTTTTTTGGTCATCATAATTACAAAGCTGCTGCGTCTCTGTAATGGTATTTTAATCTTTCACTGACAGTTTGAAACTAAACAAAAATCCTCCATACAACCTTTAATAATCCATTTTATTTATTGTTTTGGTTGAGTTTGGTTTATTCAAGTGCATTTTTTTTTAGACTGGTCCTGTGTTAAGTCTGTTTTATTTAGACCTGTTGTTTTTGTTTCCTGTGTTTAACGTTCTTTATAAAGTCAAGTTTATTGATCTTTGAGAGGAAGTATTTGCATTTTTATTCCCTGGTCGTTATATTAGTTGAAATTGGTCTCACAACGTCAATATTATCATTTATCGCAGTAGATTCTTGGTCAATTAATCGTCCAGCAAAATCTGTTATCGTTGCAGGCCTAGAAGTAGCAGTAATGTCACACTGCGGAACTTTCCAGGACAGAGCCATGACGTATCCATAGAAACAAGCGTGAAAAAAGAAAAAAAAAAAAAAAAAAAAAAAAGCACCTCTGAGTGAACGATCGTGAAGGTTAAAAGCTCCAGTTTGTCGCCAAAACCACGAGTGAGTTTGGGTCTTTTCCATTCATTGTCTCTCTCTGTCTCTCTTTTATCTTTCTTTTTTTCTTTCTTTTCCTCTCTCTCTTTCTTTTTTTCTTTTTTTCTTTCTTTCTTTCTTTCTTTCTCTTCAGTGACTCATGAGACGTTCGTTCCAGGTTTGGCACAGAAATATTGGCCGTGTTTTCTCTCGCTCTATATTTGATCCAGTCTTTGTGCAGCCTCTCCTCTTCTCTTCCTCTCCTCTTCTCTTCCTCTCCTCTTTTTTTTTCGTCTCTCCTTCTCCTCACTTTTCCCTCTTCCTCCTCTCCTCCTCTCTCCTTCTTCTCTCCTCTTTCTCTCTCCTCTCTTCTGTCTCTTTTCCTCCTTCTCTCTCTCTTTTCCTCCTCTCTCCTCTCTCTCCTAACCCTCTCCTCTTCTCTTTCCTCCTTCACTCCTCCTCTCTCTCCTCCTCTCTCTCTCTCTCTCTCCTCCTCTCCTCTCTCTCCTCCTTCTCTCTCTCTCTCTCTCTCCTCCTCCTCCTCTCCTCTCCTCTCCTCCTCTCTCTCCTCTCTCCTCTTCTCTCCTCTCCCCTCTCTTCTCTCCTCTCTCCTCTCTCCTCTCCTCTCCCTCCTCCTCTCCTCCTCTCTCCTCTCTCCTCTCTCTCCTCTCTCCTCCTCTCCTTCCTCCTCCTCTCCTCCTCCTCTCTCTTCTCCTCTCTCTTCTCTCCTCTCTCCTCTCTCTCCCTCTCTTCCTCTCCTCCTCCTCCTCTTCTCCTCCTCCTCTCTCTCCTCTCCTCTCCTCTCTCCTCTTCTCTCTCTCCTCTCTCTCTCCTCCTCCTCTTCCTCTCTCTCTCCTCCTCCCTCTCTCCTCTCCTCCTCCTCTCTCCTCCTCCTCCTCCTCCTCTCCTCTCCTCTCCTCCTCCTCTCTCTCTCTTCTCCTCCTCCTCTCCTCTCTCTCCCTATTTTCTCCTCCTCCTATCCTCCTCTCTTTCTCCTGTCTCCTCCTCTTCTCCTTCTATCTACTTTCTTTTTCCTCTCCTCTCTCTCCCTCTCTTCTCCTCCTCCTATCCTCCACTTCTCCTTGTCCTCCTCCTCCTCCTGTCTCCTCCTTCCCATCTTCTCCTCCTCTTCCTCTCGTCCTCCTCCTCTCTTCGCACCCTTCTCCCTCCATCTAATCTCTTTTTCCTCTCTTCTCCTCTCCTCCTCCTGTCTCCTTCTTCTTTCCTCTTTATCCTCCTCCTCTCTCGTCTCCTGTTGTCTTCTCTTTCTCTTTTCCGCGTCTGTCATCTCCTCCTCTTCCTCTCCTCGCTCTCTCCCTCTTTTCTCCTCCTCCTCTCCTCCTCTTCATCTCCTCCCATCTCTTCCTCCGCTTCTCCTGTCCCCTTCCTCTCTTCTGCTCCTCTTCCTCTCTTCTCTTCATCCTCCTCCTCTCCTCTTCCTCTCTCTTCTCTTTACCCCCCCCATCCTCCTCCTGACTCCTCCTCTTCTCTTCATCCTCCTCCTCTCCTCTTCCTCTCTCTTCTCTCATCCCCATCCTCTCCTGACTTCCTCTTCTCTTCATCCTCCTCTCCTTCTTCCTCTCTCTTCTCTTCATCCCCCCTCCTCCTCCTGACTCTCCTCTTCTCTCATCCTCCTCTCCTCTTCTCTCTCTTTCTTTACCCCCCATCCTCCTCCTGACTCCTCCTCTTCTCTTCATCCTCCTCTTCCTCTTCTCCTCTTCCTCTCTCTTTCATCCTAATCAGAAGTTTATTGTTGCACAAAATTGCAGCTCAAGTACTTCAATCATGTATTACTACTTCTTTGACTGTAGTAACTGTATTCAGGGTACTACCAGAATACAGGTACTCAAACAAGTATTTAGAGTACTACAAAAAGAAAGAGTAACTACAAAAATAAAGGTACCCAAGTAAGTATTCAGAGTACTACCAAAGGAAAGTATTACTAAAATACAGGTACTCCAAGTAAATATTCAGCGTACTACCAAAAAAATTAGTACTACCAGAATTTAGGTACTCCAAATAGTATTCAGAGTACTACCAAATGATAAAGTAACTAACTACTCTAAATAAGTATTCAAAGTACTACCAAAGGAAAGAGTAACTACAAAAATACATGTACGCTAAATAAGTATTCAGAGTACTACCAAACAAAGAGTATTACCAAAATACAGGTTCTCCAAATAGTATTCAAAGTACTACAAGAATGCAGATACTCCAAATAAGTATTCAGCGTACTACCAAAGGAAAGAGTAACTACTCCAAAGAAGTACTCAAAGTACTACCAAAGGAAAAAGTAACAACAAAAATACATGTATGCCAAATAAGTATTTAAAGTACTACCAAAAGAAAGAGTAACTACCAGAATACAGGTACTACAGATAAGTATTCAGAGTACATATTTTCAGAGTTGTATTTTTGTATTTTTGTATTTTTTTGTATTTTCTGTATTTTTTTTGTATTTTCTGTTTGTTTGTTTTTTTGTATTTTCTGTATTTTTTTTGTATTTTCTGTATTTTTTTGTATTTCTGTATTTTTTGTATTTTCTGTATTTTTTTGTATTTCTGTATTTTTTTTTTTGTATTTTCTGTATTTTCTGTATTTTTTGTATTTTTGTATTTTCTGGGGGGGGGGGGTTTTTGTATTTTTTTGTATTTTCTATATTTTTTTGAATTTCTGTGTTTTTTTTGTATTTTAAGTATTTTCTGTGTATTTTGTATTTTCTGTATTTTTGTATTTTTGTATTTTCTGTATTTTTTTGTATTTTCTGTATTTTTTGTATTTTTTGTATTTTCTGTATTTTTTTTTTGTTTGTATTTTTTGTATTTTCTGTATTTTTTGTATTTTCTATATTTTTTTGAATTTCTGTGTTTTTTTGTATTTTATGTATTTTATGTATATTTTGTATTTTCTGTATTTTTGTATTTTTTGTGTTTTTTGTATTTCCTGTATTTTTTGTATTTTCTGTATTTCCTGTATTTCCTTTATTTTCAGTATTTTTGTATTTCCTTTATTTTCAGTATTTTTGTATTTCCTTATTTTCTGTATTTTTGTATTTTCTGAGTCGGGTCTGTGGAGGTTTGTAGATTTCCCGCTGTTTTATTTTCCCGCTGCAGATCTGATGTTTGTCTCAGTCTGTTCCACTCAAACTCTTCTGACATTTCACGGCAGAAAAACCCGATCGATGCTCCGCTCGTTTATCGTCGGCGCTCGGTCGCGCTCCGCTCGCCGCCGCGCACTCTGGGATCTGCAGTGTTTTGTGGTCGCTAACGAGTGCTGAGCTCGGGGAAAAACACCACTAATGACGCGTCGACAGCGTCGGCCGCCGAGCGAACAAACCCAGACTCCAGTCATTACAGACACACACATCTGAAGAAGAAGAAGAAGAAGAAGAAGAAGAAGAAGAAGAAGAAGAAGAAGAAGAAGAAGAAGAAGAAGAAGGAAGAAGAAGAAGACGAAGAAGAAGAGAAGAAGAAGAAGAAGAAGAAGAAGAAAGCGAAGAAAGAAGAGAAGACGAAGAAGAAGAAGAAGAAGGAAGAAAAAGAGAAGAAGAAGAAGAAGGAAGAAGAAGAAGAAGAAGAAGAAGAAGAAGGAAGAAGAAGAAGAAGAAGAAGAAGACGAAGAAGAAGAAGACGAAGAAGAAGAAGACGAGAAGAAGAAGAAGAAGAAGAAGAAGAAGGAGAAGAAGAGAAGAAGAAGAAGAAGAAGAAGAAGAAGAAGACGAAGAAGGAGAAGAAGAAGGAGAAGAAGAAGAAGAAGAAGAAGAAGAAGAAGAAGAAGAAGAAGAAGGAAGAAAGAAGAAGAAGAAGAAAAGAAGAAGAGAAAGACGAAGAAGAAGAAGAAGAAGAGAAGAAGAAGAAGAGAGAAGAAGAAGAAGAGAAGAAGACGAAGAAGGAGAAGACGAAGAAGGAGAAGAAGAAGACGAAGAAGAAGACGAAGAAGAAGAAGAAGAAGAAGAAGAAGAAGAGAAGAAGAAGAAGAAGAGAAGAAGAAGAAGAAGAAGAAGAAGAAGAAGAAGACGAAGAAGGAGAAGAAGAAGAAGAAGAGAAGAAGAAGAAGAGAAGAAGAAGAAGAAGAAGAAGAAGAAGAAGAAGAAGAAGAAGAAGAAGAAGAAGAAGAAGAAGAAGAAGAAGAAGAAGAAGAAGAAGAGAAGAAGAAGAAGAAGAAGAAGAAGAAGAAGAAGAAGAAGAAGAAGAAGAAGAAGAAGAGAAGAAGAAGAAGAAGAAGAAGAAGAAGAAGAAGAAGAAGAAGAAGGAGAAGAAGAAGAAGAAGAAGAGAAGAAGAAGAAGAAGAAGAAGAAGAAGAAGAAGAAGAAGAAGAAGAAGAAGAAGAAGAAGAAGAAGAAGAAGAAGAAGAAGAAGAAAGAAGAAGAAGAAGAAGAAGAAGAAGAAGAAGAAGAAGAGAAGAAGAAGAAGAAGAAGAATATGAAGAAGAAGACGAGAGCACAGGAGAATCAGATAATAACAGAGGAAGGAGACCAGAGCTTCAGAATTAAAATCTGGGACTCATCCAGGTTTGTGTCGGTAATAATAAAATTGTAAAAACAGTGAGTCATTAAAAACGTGACTAAAGGTTCCACATCAACCAAAACTGACTCTTGTGAACTTTGAGTCGTGTTCTAACGTTGTTCCCTCCTCAAAAACAGACCTGGACTTGTGTTTTGTTTCATTCGTGTTTGAGTAAATCTTTATTATTAGTCTGTCTACATCGACAAACCTCAAAACACTCTGTTTCACCTTGTGATGTCATGAAGTGGACATTTCAAGTGATCAGCTCCTTTTATCTTTAGTTCAGTGGAGATTGGAAATTTCAGGGCTGAAATGATCCAAATGATTCAAGTGATTCTAGTGAAAGTGGGTGGAGTTTATCTATCTATATATATCTATATCTATATATATATCTATATATAGATAGATATATATATATATATATATATATATATATATATATATATATATATATATATATATAGATATATATAGATATATATGTATAGAGCAGAGCTGTGGTGGTGAACATCACAATACCAAGAGATGATAATATCAGGCAGGAAAAAGGAACATGAGAAAGTGAAGGCATCAGTGGAGCCTGTGGTGTTTGACACTCGAGGCTGTAAACCTCAAACTGGAAGAAACTACAACAGATCCCAGGAAAAACAACAGAACATCTCAGTCCAGAAAAGTGCAGGACTGGAACAGCAAAGATACTGAAGAACTGTCAGGCTCCCAGACCCGAGATGAAACAGGGTGAGAGACCAACCGCTGTGGAAGGTGAGAAACATATAAATATACATAATACACATACATATTTGCCATCTGGGCGTCCAACCCCCGAGCCGGTGACAGTGAGGACCCGGGGGGATTCCTGAGACGCCCACGATGAACAACCCTGATGAACGGCAGTGCGGCCGAACGCTGCACGTCTGTAGTTTTGTGAGGACACACGTGTTGCCCCCACAGGCACTTGTTGCCCTGCGCTCTGTGTGTCAGCTCATAATGACACTGTTTATGATCTCTAATGATCATGGGTTTATCTGACCACCCTGAGCCACAACAGACGACCTCTCCACATGTGATCCTTTTGTGAATCACACTTGTACTTTGTTATTTTCTACAGGGGCGTCTTACCAACATATTCTGTATCTCTGCTCTGGGTCTTCACAAGTTCCACCTAGTGTCTCCGCTCAATTTAATTTCTCTCCAGCAACTAGTTCAGGAAACAGAAAACACTAGACGGTTTACAAAAACGCTGGAAGTGTGAGTTCGGGCACCAGCCAATCAGTGAAGAGACAGACATTCTGTGTTGGCAACGATTCCTGAAATCGAGGATTTTATCAAAGGGAAAGACGTTATTGTCCTTCTTCCTACGGGATTTGGGAAAAGTTTAATACACCAGTTAGTGGTGCGTTACATACGTCACAACCAAATAGCAATGATTGTTAAATCAGTGGTTCCCAAGCTTTTTTTTTTGCACGGACTGGTTTTATATCTGTCAATATTTCGCGGATCAGAGGGGGCTGGGGTTAAGTCCAGCTAAATCCTGTTTTAGACCCTGTTTTAGAGCTGTTTTAGTCCTGGTTTAGTTTTAGTCCTGGTTTAGTCCTGGTTTAATATTAGTTTTAGTCCTGTTTTAGTTTTTAGTCTGGTTTATATTAGTTTTATCTGGTTTAGTCCTGGTTTATATATTAGTTTTAGTCCTGGTTTAATATTAGTTTTAGTCCTGTTTTAGTCCTGGTTTAATATTAGTTTTAGTTCTGGTTTAGAGGCGTGGCCTGTGCTTTATACAAGAGGGAGGATGGCAAGCGCAGTGTCCGAGGGGTTATGCATCTAACTTCTGCATCAGCATCATTCATGATGGGGAAGGCTTTGTTCTGATCCCCAGACTAAGGACAGGTCTGTGATTATGCGCACAATTGCTTAATAAATCAGGCTCTTTGATTCAAGACGACTTTTCAGTTCTTTTATTATTTGGGGCCTAGAAATTCCACAATAAACCCCCTCGAAAACTAAACGGCACATCTCAAGGGGCATCCACACTCACACCAGGTCTTAAGAACTGTGCCCCAGCCTGGATCACCCCTGAAGAGCGGCTCGTTTGTCCAGCGGTTCGTTTGTCCAGCGGTTCGTTTGCCCAGCGGTTCGTTTGTCCAGCGGTTCGTTTGTCCAGCGGTTCGTTTGTCCAGCGGTTCGTTTGTCCAGCGGTTCGTTTGTCCAGCGGTTCGTTTGTCCAGCGGTTCGTTTGTCCAGCGGTTCGTTTGTCCAGCGGTTCGTTTGTCCAGTGTGAATGCAGTCGAACCGTGTCCAGGTGCGGTATGGATGGGACTTCGGCCTGATTGAAGGAGGAGGGCCAAAGCTCGGCACAGTTGCTCATGTACACGCACATGCACGACTTTAATACACGAGCTCTGTGTGCGCTGATGTTTCACATACGAGGAAAACAGTGAATAAAATCTCCTCCAAAACACACAGCAAACCTGCACTCACCTTCAATAAAGACAGACAGAAGTTTATCTGCCTCTAGTCTCGGGATGTCCTCACTGCTCTGCTCGGTTTTTATCTGCATAAACTCACAGAGGAGCATGTTTCATAAAAGATGCTCATCAGGCTCACATTTTAATAGATATTAATGCCACTAACAGATATTTTCTCCGTTGAACATGTAGCACACGTTACAAATGTAACACATGTAAACAAATATAACCATGATGACGTCATCGGGCCGTGGACCAGTTCGGTTGTACAGGTGTGAGTGCAGCCATACAGAACTCATCACAATTGTGCTTGATGTATCTAGTGCTATGGACTATGTATGTTAGAATCTAATTTTCGATATTTTTGGCAAGCGAAATCTAAAACCACAACATGATCAGATTATACAACGTTTCTTTAATCTCATGTTGGCTTCACGCTCTCGTTTATCCAGAGATCTGACGCTGGACTGACCTCCTCTTCCTCCTCCTCCTCTTCCTCTCCTGTTTTCTTCTTTTTACATTCTTATCATAATGACTTTGCGGTTGCCATAGCGAAGCCTGATCATATTCAGATCAAACTGCCGAAAACAGCTGCTGCCTCTGGGAAACATTAGCGGGTTTTTCCAGCGTGACGTAGCGGCGCTTTTGTTTGTGATAAAACAGATTCTCCCCAAACGTGGGCGACTGATGCAACCTGCTCCCGGCCTCTCGCTCCGTCTGAACGCTCGTCCCCCTTACCGACGCTAAAGAGAGACCAGAAAACACCGGGCGCGCTAACTGGAGGCACTGCTCTGTGTGCGGCTCGACAGAACACAGCTCCACATCTGTTTATGAGGAGGTGACAATATTATAACACGACTTAAAGCTCACAAGAGTCCACTTTGACCTTTTATCTTAGCTTTAGTTTAATAAACTTGACCCAAAAGACCTGGTTTAGTTGGAACTACAGAGTCCTTTTGTCCCCGGGACAGTCCCAGTTTGAACCTGTGTCCCTCCAGATTTATACAAAACCAATGATTTGTCCCAGTTTATACAAGAAATGTCCCTATTTTTGACCAATCTGATCTAAACAAGGACTAAACCAGGACTAAAACAGAACTAAATCAGGTCTAAACCAGGTCTAAACCAGAACTAAACCAGGACTAAACTAGGTCTAAACCAGGACTAAACCAGTACTAAACAGGTCTAAACCAGAACTAAACCAGGTCTATTTCAGGTCTAAGCCAGGTCTAAGCCAGGACTAAACTAGGTCTAAACCAGGACTAAACCAGGACTAAACCAGAACTAAACCAGGTCTATTTCAGGTCTAAGCCAGGTCTAAACCAGGACTAAACCAGGACTAAACCAGAACTAAACCAGAACTAAACCAGGTCTATTTCAGGTCTATTTCAGGTCTAAACCAGGTCTAAGCCAGGACTAAACCAGGTCTATTTCAGGTCTAAGCCAGGTCTAAGCCAGGACTAAACCAGGTCTAAACCAGGACTAAACCAGGACTAAACCAGAACTAAACCAGGTCTATTTCCGGTCTAAACCAGGTCTAAACCAGGACTAAAGCCTTAGTCACAATGGATCCACACGGGCAGTTCACGGGTGATTTTTGCCCAAGTCCGTTTGGGATTCACAAGTGACTCGTACAAGATTCTGAGCTCGTAGACGTCGGCTGAACCTGTACGGAGGAAATGTTCATGCACATTTTTTCCTGAAAGCGGCTTTCGGGGAGCAGCTCGTATCCAGCACATATCTCACACTTACGGGGGAAGTACGCGTCACGCAGGTGTGTTGTACAGGTTTTTTACATTTTCTCACACCCTGAATTCCTGCGTCCCAGGCACGGGTCCCAGACGGGTCAACTGCGTCGTTCCTACGGGTCACGTGCCTCGTATGAGCTGCCAGGATCGCGAGACCTGTACAAAAGCTGATGCGATGCCCGTGCAGGCACAAGAGTCGTAGCAGCAGTACTGTACACACAAAGTTTTCACCCATGAGATGCCGCCCAAGGGAAGGCAAAGGACAAGAGGACGAGGAAGAGACCGGAGACTGCAGCAGGAGCAGGAGCCACAGCAGGTCTCCAGGCCGAGGACGAGGCAGTCCACCTCTGCCTTCTCTCTCTTCCTGGACACGGTTCTGAGCGAACACCGCCACTACAGCTTCTTGTTCCTCTTCATCCTCCTGCTCCATTAGTTGTAAGAGTCGTCTCGGCATCTCCACGGTCGAACGAAGGACGAGTACGATGTGATGAAGCGGTGATGTCGAGCTCAGTGTTACACAGCACGACGAGAAGAGCCACATCTCATAAGACCATGTAAGAGGCTTGTACTCACCTCGTACAAACGAGAGTGCGCTGCAAGTGACCCTTGCGTGGCACTTCAGTACGATGTACTATTGCCTCCCGACACTCACATGCCCCACGGTGCCGCAGTTTCTCTCAGGGTCCTGCACGAGTCTCAAGGGACCAGGACTAAACCAGAGGAGCATAAACTGCGTTTGTTTAGCCAAAATCCCACAGACTGAGCTTCTGTATTTTGCCTCAGATTAAACTCAGACACAGACTCTGAAAATCTGCTCTTTAAATCCATTTAGTATTTTTTTTCCCTTGAGTTTTCTTCATCTTAAAAGTCTTTTGTCTGTGTTTCTGTTTGTTTGTCTCAGCGTGGCGTCAAAGTGTGAGTAAAATACTGAGATAAAGACACGTGGGAACAGAAAAGAAGCACCACCACTTAATGCTGAAAATCACATTCGCCGTCTAAAAACAGACACACGGTTTCATTATTTGCTTGAAGGTTCCAGCATTCCCATAGAAACACTCGGGGTCTCCATGACGCCCTGCAGCGGCGGGAGCAGTGCACGCTGGGAGGGCACCCATCACAACGCGGCTTTAAACAAACCCGCATCGCCATGGCGCCCGGTATTTTTAGCCTCGCCCACCGCGGCAGCGACGGGCCAGCGGGGGCGACAGAGAGCACTGACACGGAGACAAAGCAGACGGATCAGCACGGTTAAAAACAGAAAGAGAGAAGAGGAGAGACAGAAGAGAAAGAGAGAGAACAGACGAGCCAATCACACGGAGAGTTTATGATCCAAATGAACTCACAGTGTCCGAGAAATCACCCAGATGTTTTAGTTTTCTTCATAAATACACGAATCAAGACTCTCGGACTCAGACTCTTCCGGTCATCACGCAATTCATACTGAGAAGGATTTTCTGTAAAAGAGAGAATCAAACCTCCATGTTTGTTTTCCCAGTGGGATGTGTTTATTGTCAAAGTCGATCTTTTCAAGTCTTTTGAACCATATCACTTTTGTTTCTGGTTCTGATATTGTCATATTTTAGTTTTGGGATTCAGATGTTGTAATTTTGTGGTTGTTGGATGTTTTAACAGTGGAAAGCGACTCGAGAAATGTGTTTGTGAACTTCATAAATGCAAAAGTGAATCAGATGTGTGTGACTCAAACCTCCGTTCAAACTGTTTCTCTTCCCAACGGAATTGAAAAATAGTGAAAGGTGAAGGTGATGGGCAGGATTGATCCACAGGAAGAACCAAAAAGGAAACATTTGTCTGACTAAGAAATCATCCTGAGTTTACAGAGAACATTTTGTATGTGGAGCGACAACAAAACAAAATCCTGTTTGTTAATGTAGAGGAGCAGAAGACAAACAGACTGAGCTGCACTTTCTTGTTCTTGTGGTTTTACAGAAACATCACGTCTTGGTCTTTGCAGTGGAAGGTGTTTCTTGGTGAACAGTTGGAGACTTTCACTTTGACGCTGACTTTTTAAATTCATAACCGAGGTTGAGCGAGAGATCAGGATTTTGTTTTGTTGTCGCTCCACATACAAAATGTTCTCTGTAAACTCGGCAGTCAAAGTTTTCCTTTTTGGTTCTTCCTGTGGATCAATCCTGCCCATCACCTTCACCTTTCACTATTTTTCAATTCTTTTGGGAAGAGAAACAGTTTGAACAGAGGTTTGAGTCACACACATCTGATTCACTTTTGTGTTTATGGAGTTCGCAAACACATTTCTCGAGTCGTTTTCCGCTGTTTTGATCCAACAACCACAAAATTACGACGTCCGAATCCCAAAACTAAAATATGACAATATCAGAACCAGAAACAAAAGTGATATGGTTCAAAAGACTTGAAAAGATCGACTTTGTCAATAGACACATCCCACTGGGAAAACAAACATGGAGGTTTGATGCTCACTTTTTCAGAGGATCCTTCCCAGTGTGAATTGCGGAATGACCGGAAGTCCGAGATTCTTGATGCGTCTATTGTTCTATTTGGAGGTCGGACTATTTCATATGCTCTATATCTGTGCACACTGTCACCCTTCCACACCGACGGTATCATATACGACAACTGGGAATATATAGAAAGGTTTTTCCCCTTGAAAAGTTGAGAGTTGCTTCCTTCCGAGCATATTTCCGGCATTATCCTGCGTCACACTCACGCTGCGTGATGACGTTGGGAAAACGAGTGTGTCTCCGTCCATTTTGATTGGCCCAATCTAGGGATGGGCATTTGATGAAATTGTATTCATCGATCGTCGGGAGAATTAACGATCGGTTTTCGATTAATCATTAACGTTTTTATATTAAAAGTATCATCATTATTATTACTAATCTGCATAAATAAATTCAACTTTACAACATATAAACTATTACTGATAGAGCCACATCAGCCCGTTTGACATTATAATGTGTTTAATGCAGATTTGCGCAAGTAGAAACGAAACTTAAAATCACATGGCTAATTTGCATAAGCGGAGAAAAAAGAAAAAAAAAAAAAAACGCTCTTGTGTTGCTGATGTGGTTCAGTTTCTGTCGGACTAAATGACACATTCTCAATAGAATCTGCGTGTTCTCTCTGTGTCAGAGGGGTGTTCTCTCTGTGTCAGAGGTGTGTGTGACAGAGGGTGTCTCTCTGTGTGACAGAGGGGTGTTCTCTCTGTGACAGAGGGGTGTTCTCTCTGTCAGAGGGGTGTGTCAGAGGGTGTTCTCTCTGTGTGACAGAGGGGTGTTCTCTCTGTGTCAGAGGGGTGTTCTCTCTGTGACAGAGGGGTGTCAGAGGGGTGTTCTCTCTGTGACAGAGGGTGTTCTCTCTGTTCTCTCTGTGAGAGGGGTGTTCTCTCTGTGTCAGAGGGTGTTCTCTCTGTGTCAGAGGGGTGTTCTCTCTGTGACAGAGGGGTGTTCTCTCTGTGTGTCAGAGGGGTGTTTCTCTCTGTGACAGAGGGGTGTTCTCTCTGTGACTGTCAGAGGGTGTTCTCTCTGTGACAGAGGGGTGTTCTCTCTGTGACAGAGGGGTGTTCTCTCTGTGACAGAGGGGTGTTCTCTCTGTGTCAGAGGGGTGTTCTCTCTGTGACAGAGGGGTGTTCTCTCTGTGTCAGAGGGGTGTTCTCTCTGTGTCAGAGGGGTGTTCTCTCTGTGTCAGAGGGGTGTTCTCTCTGTGACAGAGGGTGTTCTCTCTGTGACAGAGGGTGTTCTCTCTGTGAAGAGGGTGTGTTCTCTCTGTGTCAGAGGGGTGTTCTCTCTGTGTCAGAGGGGTGTTCTCTCTGTGACAGAGGGGTGTTCTCTCAGAGGGGTGTTCTCTCTGTGTCAGAGGGGTGTTCTCTCTGTGACAGAGGGGTGTTCTCTCTGTGTGACAGAGGGGTGTTCTCTCTGTGTGACAGAGGGGTGTTCTCTCTGTGTGTCAGAGGGGTGTTCTCTCTGTGTCAGAGGGGTGTTCTCTCTGTTCTCTCTGTGTCAGAGGGTGTTCTCTCTGTCAGAGGGGTGTCTCTCTGTGACAGAGGGGTGTTCTCTCTGTGACAGAGGGGTGTTCTCTCTGTGACAGAGGGGTGTTCTCTCTGTGTCAGAGGGGTGTTCTCTCTGTGACAGAGGGGTGTTCTCTCTGTGAGAGGGGTGTCTCTCTGTGACAGAGGGGTGTTCTCTCTGTGTGTCAGAGGGGTGTTCTCTCTGTGTCAGAGGGTGTTCTCTCTGTGTCAGAGGGTTTCTCTCTGTGTCAGAGGGATGTTCTCTCTGTGACAGAGGGTGTTCTCTCTGTGACAGAGGGGTGTTCTCTCTGTGACAGAGGGGTGTCAGAGGGGTGTTCTCTCTGTGACAGAGGGGTGTTCTCTCTGTGACAGAGGGTGTTCTCTCTGTGACAGAGGGGTGTTCTCTCTGTGACAGAGGGGTGTTCTCTCTGTGTCTCTCTGTGTCAGAGGGGTGTTCTCTCTGTGTCAGAGGGGTTCTCTCTGTGTCAGAGGGGTGTTCTCTCTGTGACAGAGGGTCTCTCTGCGACAGAGGGTGTTCTCTCTGTGTGACAGAGGGTGTTCTCTCTGTGACAGAGGGTGTTCTCTCTGTGTCAGAGGGTGTTCTCTCTGTGAGAGGGGTGTTCTCTCTGTGACAGAGGGGTGTTCTCTCTGTGTCAGAGGGGTGTTCTCTCTGTGTCAGAGGGGTGTTCTCTCTGTGTCAGAGGGTGTTCTCTGAGAGGGGTGTTCTCTCTGTGTCAGAGGGGTGTTCTCTCTGTGTGAGAGGGGTGTTTCTCTCTGTGTCAGAGGGGTGTTCTCTCTGTGTGACAGAGGGGTGTTCTCTCTGTGACAGAGGGGTGTTCTCTCTGTGTCAGAGGGGTGTTCTCTCTGTGTCAGAGGGGTGTTCTCTCTGTGACAGAGGGGTGTTCTCTCTGTGACAGAGGGGTGTTCTCTCTGTGACAGAGGGGTGTTCTCTCTGTGTCAGAGGGGTGTTCTCTCTGTGTGACAGAGGGGTGTTCTCTCTGTGACAGAGGGGTGTTCTCTCTGTGACAGAGGGGTGTTCTCTCTGTGTGACAGAGGGTGTTCTCTCTGTGACAGAGGGTGTTCTCTCTGTGTCAGAGGGGTGTTCTCTCTGTGTGACAGAGGGGTTTCTCTCTGTGACAGAGGGTCTCTCTGTTCTCTGTGAGAGGGGTGTTCTCTCTGTGACAGAGGGGTTCTCTCTGTGTCAGAGGGTGTTCTCTCTGTGACAGAGGGGTGTTCTCTCTGTGTCAGAGGGGTGTTCTCTCTGTGTCAGAGGGGTGTTCTCTCTGTGACAGAGGGGTGTTCTCTCTGTGTCAGAGGGGTGTTCTCTCTGTGTCAGAGGGGTGTTCTCTCTGTGACAGAGGGGTGTTCTCTCTGTGTCAGAGGGGTGTTCTCTCTGTGTCAGAGGGGTGTTCTCTCTGTGACAGAGGGGTGTTCTCTCTGTGACAGAGGGGTGTTCTCTCAGAGGGGTGTTCTCTCTGTGTGACAGAGGGGTGTTCTCTCTGTGTCAGAGGGTGTTCTCTCTGTGACAGAGGGTGTTCTCTCTGTGTCAGAGGGGTGTTCTCTCTCTGTGACAGAGGGGTGTTCTCTCTCTGTGACAGAGGGGTGTTCTCTCTGTGACAGAGGGGTGTTCTCTCTGTGTCAGAGGGGTGTTCTCTCTGTGTCAGAGGGGTGTTCTCTCTGTGACAGAGGGGTCTCTCTGTGTCAGAGGGGTTTCTCTCTGTGACAGAGGGGTGTTCTCTCTGTGTGACAGAGGGGTGTTCTCTCTGTGACAGAGGGGTTCTTCTCTCTGTGACAGAGGGGTGTTCTCTCTGTGACAGAGGGGTGTTCTCTCTGTGTCAGAGGGGTGTTCTCTCTGTGTGACAGAGGGGTGTTCTCTCTGTGACAGAGGGGTGTTCTCTCGTGTCAGAGGGTGTTCTCTCTGTGACAGAGGGTGTTCTCTCTGTGTCAGAGGGTGTTCTCTCTGTGACAGAGGGGTGTTCTCTCTGTGACAGAGGGGTGTTCTCTCTGTGACAGAGGGGTGTTCTCTCTGTGACAGAGGGGTGTTCTCTCTGTGTCAGAGGGGTGTTCTCTCTGTGACAGAGGGGTGTTCTCTCTGTGTGACAGAGGGTGTTCTCTCTGTGTGTCAGAGGGGTGTTCTCTCTGTGTCAGAGGGGTGTTCTCTCTGTGTCAGAGGGGTGTTCTCTCTGTGACAGAGGGGTGTTCTCTCTGTGTCAGAGGGGTGTTCTCTCTGTGTCAGAGGGGTGTTCTCTCTGTGACAGAGGGGTGTTCTCTCTGTGACAGAGGGGTGTTCTGCTGAAGGTGAGTCTGTTCTGTGTTTGTGTCGTGATGTTTTCAGAGATCGTACGTGTGCAGGTTTAGCTCTTTATGTCTGCCCAAACCAGAGAGCTGCTCTGTGATTGGTCAACACTGGTGGTGCGGGACCAATCACAGGCACAATTGAACCGGAGTTGAACAACAGTTTGTGAACTTAGAAAAAAAAAACGTGTGAGGTTACTACAGTGTAACTCTGGTTCTATGAATAAGGCAACTGTTTGTACTACAGTCTGCTTTTTAAAATTGTTGATTCGTGTTTTGATTTTTATTATATGTTCTGTCATGATCAAAATAAAACGAATCAGGATTGGCGCAGAAAATGAATGCCATTATGTGTTGAGGGAAAGTGAAAGTTGGTTCTCAAACGGAGGTGAGGGTCCAGGAGGGTGCACAGAGTTTTATCGTTTTTGTTTGTTTTGTTTGTAGCCGCTGCCGCACTGAGGTGAGAGCTGGACCACGAGCAGTTCAGAAATAATCACAACAGCCTCAGGAGAACTTAACAGAACAGAATGACAGAATTGCGTGAAAGAGACAAAAACTCCATAACTTTTTTGTTAGTTTGTTTGTTTTTCTGACTCCTTTGAGAATTTTTTCCTTTGTACTACGTCTCTCAGGCAGCAGGAGACTCTGGACCAGTGGACTCACTTGGTCACTGCATCCAACAGATCAGTGTGTGGAGGCAAAACAACTTTCTCCAGCTAAACTCTGACAAGACTGAAGTCATAGTGTTTGGTCCACAGAAACAAAGGGACAGTGTCAGCATCACCTCCAGTCTCTCGCTCTAAAACCTTCAAATCAGGCAAGAAATCTAGGGGTAATAATGGACTCAGACTTGAACTTTAACAGCCACATCAAATCAATAACATCTGCAGCCTTTTACCATCTAAAAAACAGAGCAAAAATCAAAGGTTTACTGTCTAAATCAGACTTGGAGAAACTTATCCATGCGTTTGTCTCCAGTAGGTTTGATACTGTAATGTTCTGCTCACTGGTCTCTCCAAACGAGCTGTGAGACGCTGCAGAACATCCAGAACATCCAGAACATCCAGAACATCCAGAACAACATCCAGAACATCCACATCCAGAAATCATCCAGAACAACATCCAGAACATCCAGAACGCTGCAGCTCGGGTACTGACTCCAACTAAGAAGTACGAGCACATAAGTCCTGTGTCTCAGGTCTCTGCACTGGCTCCTGTGGCTCAGAGACTTTAAAGCAGCTCTGCTTGTACAAGTGTCTCCATGGTCGAGCACCAAAGTCCATCTGTGACATGTTAGTGTCATATGAACATCTCACACTCTGAGGAGCTCAGGGACCAACTCCTGCTGGTGCCCAGAGTCACGACTAAACAAGGGGAGTCAGAGTTTCAGGTTCATGCAGCTAAAACCTGGAACAGTCTGAACATGTGAGACAGACTCTTCTGTGACGCTGTTTAAATCCAGACTCTAAACTGTTCTGTTTAACTGTGCAAATAACTGAAAGGTTTTCATTCCGCACTCTTCTCTCCAATTTATGTCTCTCTTTTTTAATTTTAATCTTCATGATTATTTATGTTTTGATTTGTTTTTATTATGATTTTAATGTATTTCTTATTCTGTAAAACACTTTGAATTACTTTGTGTATGAATTGTGCTGTACAAATACACTTGCCTTGCCTCTGCTTTTTTTAAAATAATGATTCATATTTTTGCTTTTTATTATATGTTCTGTCATGGTTGAACTAAAATCAGTCAGGATCAGTGCTAAAAATGAATGCCACTGTGTGTTAAGGGCAAGTGAAAGTGCACAGAGTTTTATAGTTTTTGTTTGTTTTGTAGCTTCTGCCCTCGTACCTGCTGGTGGTGCTCGATTCCCATGCTGATGGTGTTGATCAGGATGGCGATCATGATTCCGCGGTTGAAGTACTTGCTCTCCACGATGGCCCACAGCTTCATCCTGGTGTCGAACCACAGATCTGCAGTGCACTTCCCGTGGTCCTGCGCTCCGTCTGACTCCTCCCCCTCCTTCTCCTCGGGCTTAGGCCCCGCCCCGTCGCACGGGGCCCGGGAGCACTGGGGGCACGGCTCGGACTCGGCGCCGTCGGCTTTGGAGTGGTGAGGACACGGAAGAGCTGCGGGCGAGACGGAAGCACACGAGACACAAAATCACAAGGTTTGGTTAAAATCACTTGTACAAGAAGTTTCCTCAGCTCCTTTAACCTTCTCCTCTGCTCCTCTGACCTTCTCCTCTGCTCCTTCTCCTTCTCCTCTCTCCTCTGCTTCCTCTGACCTTCTCCTCTGCTCCTCTGACCTTCTCTCTCTGCTTCTCCTCTGCTCCTTCACCTTCTTCTCTCTGCTCCTCTGAACCTTCTTCTCTGCTCCTCTGCTCTTGACTTCTCCTCTGCTCCTCTGACCTTCTCCTCTGACCTTCTCTCTGACCTTCTCCTCTGCTCCTCCTTCTCCTCTGCTCCTTCTGCTCTTCTCCTCTGCTCTCTGACCTTCTCCTCTGCTCCTGCTCCTTCTCCTCTGCTTCCTCTGCTCCTAACCTTCTCCTCTGCTCCTCTGACCTTCTCCTCTGCTCCTTCAACCTTCTTCTCTGCTCCTCTGACCTTCTCCTCTGCTCCTCTGACCTTCTCTCCTCTCTGCTCCTCTGACCCTCTCTCCTCTGCTCCTCTGCAACCTTCTTCTCTGCTCTTCTGACCTTCTCTCTCTCTGACCTCCTCTGACCTCTCCTCTTCTCTGCTCCTCTGACCTTCTCCTCTCCTCTGCTCCTCCAACTTTCTCCTCTGCTCCTCTGTTCCTCTGACGTTCTCCTCTGTTCCTCTGACCCTCTCTTTTTCTCCTCTGACCTTCTCCAGATCTGACCAGGCTCGGGGCATCATGTTTTTGTTTCCATGGAGCTGAACATGTTTAATTCCATTAGGGATGAGCTGACATTGGAAAATGAGCTGGATTGGCTCCATGATGAGTTAAGTGGACGTCCTGGTTGGGACTGGATCTAATGAGAAAATTCAGAGGCCGATTTTGGCCTTGAGCGTCTCATAACGACCTGTATCCAAACAAACATGTTCAGAAATATACAGAAAAGATCTGTTAACTCCTATTTCACTGTTTCATGCTGCGTCTGGGCCAGGTCGTGTTCTCACGTGACTTAACTGGTGTAATACTGAATAAATAATTAAATAAAACAACAAGAAAGTGCATTTTTCCATCAAAATTTTCATCAGAACTGAAAAAGCCGTTATGATGCATCTCAAAATGCCGTACTGTGGGACATTACATGCAAACCAAGCTCATCTGTGGACACAATGCAGAGTCTAAACCAGGAGAGTTGGCCTCATTCATGAAACGTTTTTGTCATTCAGGAAACCTTTTCTTAACTGAAAATGTTCTCCTGGAAGAACAGGAGCAATGTTAAGAACAAAAATTATAGGGTTTTAGAACATGGGCCCAGTCAAGCAGAAGTAAACAACAAGACCAAAAATTCAAGTTAATTCATCTGATATAAAAATGTATTGAACAGATACATATGTACTCTAGTTTATCAAACTGTTGACCTTTTTTCTGTACCATTTTTGGTTCTAAAGTTCCACACGTTTTAAACAGACCATGTATGAAACATGGAACAAAAATTATTTCCCAAATTTCAAAGACCTGAAAATCATGTAAATAAATGATGTATTTCATCATATCTTGTGTTATTCCATCTTTGAACTGTTGATGAAGGGACATGATTTAAAAAAAATATATATTTAAAATGATAAAAATTTGCTTGGAAGGACTGACATATTTTATAGAAATAGTTTCCTTTCATTTTGAAGTAATATTAAAGTATTTGGAAGAAAAAAAAGTGACAAATGATGTAAAATCCTGCACCTTCTACTTGTTTGCACAATTTTCCTCCGTTACTTTTCCCTCCGTTACCATGAACTTTCTTAATAAAAAATCTCATGAGTCAAAAAGTAAGAGGTTTTTCAACCTAATCTTGTACCATATGGTAGAAAACTATATGAAGCAAATATTCAAACCAGTTTGTTAAGGATATGGAAGTGAGAACCAAGAGTTATCACTGTTTGGATTTATTGACCAAAAAGTGCTGCATATTTCATTTCCCTCCGTTACCAACATGAGTTTTTAAAATCTTTTGTCAACAACTTGAAAGAATCTCACAGGTTTAACTTGACCCTGTTGGAGTGTAACTCTTTCCTACATTCTGATACTTTACTTATTTCAATAGTTCCTCTAGTTTCTGAATAAGAGACATTTGAATGTCAAAAATCTGCCCCTGTTTCCCTCCGTTACCACTTGACCGAACCCCTATTATTACTCTGATAATGCAACGAAAAATTCAAATTTCTCTATGATTGTAAGTGATATATTTTCTTAAATTATTTCCTCAGTCTGTCACAGCCCTGAGCCTGGTCACTGCGCTGGATTCAACACCCCAAGACGAGCTACAACACCCCATGACCCCCCCATGACCCCCCATGACCCCCCATGACCAGAGTGCACTCTTATGCCCCTCCTCCCAAGCCCCCCTCCCTCATTATCTTGTTATTTACTGCAGGTCCAAGAGTGCGGAAACATGATAAATACAACAAAAACAGCCGCTTATTTCAATAAGTTTATGCCTTAAATCTTCCTCCCTGAGTCATGTGAGTCTGGACATTTGAAATCTCCACTGAAGTTGTAAAACAGTGGTGGTCTGCAGACGCTCGTCCTGACCTCCTCCTGGACTTTCACACATCATGACACCAAACACATACTGACCATATTTGGAAGTCCAGAGGCGTTTCTAACCAAATACATATCATTTTTTTATGTAAATTAAATGTGAATGAGCGTGATTGTTGGTGATTTCAGCGCAACTTAGTTACTCTTAAAGGTTGTATGGAGGATTTTTTGTTTTGTTTAAAACTGTCATTGAAAGTTTAAAATACCATTACAGAGACGCAGCAGCTTTTAATTATGATGACCGAAAAAAAAAAGAAAGAATGAAAATCTATCAACTGTGGACGTGTTGAGGCCAGATAAACATCAGCCAATAGAAAACGAGGCTCCCTCTTTTTCTATTGGCTGTTAGGTTGTCAGTCAAACTCCCTACATTTTTAGTGTAACTGAGTCATCGGCGCTCGGGGATTATGTGGTTTATGCAGCGGTTCTTTGAGGCTTTTTCAAACTGTAGCTTCCTCGCAATTCGCACAAAGTTTGTTGCGGTGGTGGACGAGAATCCACGAGCAGTTCGCCGCAAAAGAAAGTCCGAAGGGTCTAAAAACTGACGCGTCAGTCGCTAAAATATTTGTAGGCAGGTCACTTCAACAGTGATTCTGAACATGCACTGGATGTAAACAAATGTGATTTGTAGAGTAAAGAGGCGGGAGGAGGAGGTGTTTCTACTGAGGAAGGAGGTGTCACATGCACAACGTTTGAAAAAGGACGGTCGCTGTATTTCGCTTCCCTTAAAAAATCCTCTATACAACCTTTAAGTGACTAAGAAGGAATTCGGCTGCTTAAAAACGTTTTGTGAATCTGGGGCAGAGTTCTGTCCGAATCTTATTAAAGTGGAAGTCACGGACATATTTTGAGAAAAGATTCATGAATGAGACTCATTGTGCTGATATATTTTATAGCTTCAGGGTTCAGTGGAGTGTATTTCTATAAAGACGTGTGTTATAAAGCGGGAAAGATGGACTGACAGGAGCAGAGTTGTGGGTTTTGTGTCTGTGAATGACCCTAAATGAAAAGTTACAGGGTGAGTCTTTAACGTGTGCTCCTCACCGTGTCTGTTCCGGGGCCTCTTCTCCCTCCCTCCTCTCCCGTTCACCCTCCTCTCTCGGGGCTCCTCCGCTCGGCCCCTGCCCGCCCCCCTGAACCCTCGTGGTTTTCCTCGGAGGGCGTAGATGGAGTTCACCGCCTGGCGCCGCAGCTTTCGGAGCATGTGGCACACGAGCTGGAACAGCTCCTCGTAGCAGTCGCCGGGTTCGGACGCCAGCGTGGACATGGACGAGCACCGCGCCCGCTGCTCCTGCATCAGCTGGTGCTCGCGCTGCTTCGTCTCCGAGAACTGCGTCGCTATGACGACCAGGCACAGGTTTATCATGAAGAACGAGCCCACCTGAGAAAGAGACAGAGACGGAGCCAGAGACGAGTGTTAGGGACGAGGACTGTGACGATGTCAAACTCAGACACAGGGACAAGACACAGATTTCCTCACAGATTACAGCTCTGTGTAACATTTGTTCTTTTGAATTTCAATTAAGAACGAAAAACCATAAAATAAACTAAAGAAACACAGCTACCGAAGTCCTGCACAGGTCCTTTTTGGAGACCCGCCCAGACTAGGGACGGGCATTCGATGAAATTTTCTTAATCGATCGTCGGAAGAATTAACGATCGATCATCGATTAATCATTAACGTTTTTATATTAAAATGATCATCATTATTACTATCTGCACTAATCTGCATAAATAAATTCAACTTTACGACATATAAACATAACGACTCTAGATCCACATCAGCTGTTTGACATTATAATGTGTTTAATTCAGTTTTGTTCAAATCTCACAGAAACAAAACTTAAAACCACATCACTAATTTACATAAACTAAGTGAAGATAAAACTCCAGCTCTTGTGT